TGGAGAGAGAGAGAGAGAGAGAGAGAGAGAGAGAGAGAGAGAGAGAGAGAGAGAGAGAGAGAGAGATCGAGCCCTAGCCTCAGAGCTACAAAGACCTGGGTTTAAGCTTGCTCTCCCTACCTGTGACACATGCTGGCTAGGTGACCCACAGCAAGTCACTTAACCTGTCAATGCCGACCCTCTGTGACTATAAGGAGCAGAACAGTTGCTCATCTGTGTGGAGTTTCTTGACCTGGGGTTCCCTATTCCAGTCAAGTCACAAGTCAGGATATCATGACAGCCCCTACCCCCAAAATCATTATGAATATCATTTTTTTGGTTCTGCATCAGTTTATACAAACCTTCCCACATAGCTCTGAGTTCCCTAGAGTCATAGTTTCTTACTGAACAATGACATTCCACTTCACATGTCCCACTTTCTTCAGCCTTTCTCTAATCAATTGGCTCCCATTTTGTTCCCAGTTCTTTGCTACCATGTGAAGGGTTGCTAGGGATGTTTTGGTACCTATTGGAACTTGGCCTGCCTTGAACCTGCTTAGAGGTAGCCTGGGTCAAAGGACAAAGGACAATTTATTCCAAAGTTGTTTGTCCTTCATTTTCAAAGAGGGCCAATGATATCACAAGGTGATGTCTCACACATCAACTGGATTCAGGTGAGGCTGAGTTATGCAGAAGTCATCAGCTTCACTCTCTCTTCTTGAGTCATCGAAGTCCAATGACAAGAAAAAAGTCAGGACAACTGTTGATGGCCTGGGATGCAGTGGATGACCATGGCATCTTCAATGTCTGACCGAGCTCTAAGCACTCCCAGCAACTGTTTCAGCTGCCTTCATGACTGTTGGAACAAATTGTTCTCATCTGACTATTCTCCATGTGTGGGGTAGACATCCCCCTAACTCACTAATGGGTCTAAGGCCCGTTGGTTACCCTCAACCTGGTTTAGCCTGTCTGCCCAGATGGCTTATTGGGGTGTGGCTGCTGAACATGCTTCTTGGAGCTTCTGGGAACCGCAGGTAAGAGTTAGGTGAATCAGGTGGACACCAGAGGTGGATGAGTAACCCTGAAAAGCACTCAGTAGTCCTCACACCAGAGGTGCTAGTCCTCCTGAACACCCCACATGCCCCTATTCCAAATACCAACTGTACTAAAATGCTTTTTTTTCTACGACTGAGTCTCTCTATCTCATCCAGGCTGCAGGTGCATTGGTCATTCATAGGCAGAACCCAATACTGATCAGCATGGGAGCTTTGACCTGCTCCATTTCTGACCTGGGTCAGTTAACCCCTTAGGATCCCCATATTGCTGCCAGACTTAGTGTGGACACCCAATTGGCTTATAGCCCACCGAAGCTCAGACTCAATCGTCCAGCCTCAGGGGTTACAGACGTGCCACTATGCCCAGCTTAAAAATTTCAAAGATATCTTTGAATAACCGTGGCCCCATTTCACACAGCTTGTCCAGTATAATAAGCATTGAACATATAGGTATCTTATGAAACAAACCTCCTCTTTCATGACAGAGAGGTGGGGGACTCTTAGGACAGAGCATTGTATACATTTTCAGACCCAGTCAATGAATCGGATGTCTTTGCTTATTATTTTTCTTTGTTTTAAAGAAGAGTTCAGCCTCAGAAGGGGACGGAAATAATCTATGCTATAAAGACAAAAGGCTTCAATAAAATATACTTAAAATAATACATATCTATAGTTTTCCTAATTACGGCAATTGCTGAAGAGGCTTTCCATAAATCAGCCACGCTCATTTCTAATTACCCACATTAAGTGGAGCTGTGGCAATGAGGCTTTTATTCTACAGGCAGAAGGGGAGCTGCTGGGACAGAGCAAACCTGATCTATCAAAATCCAGATTTACTAAAAAGGTTAATTGGGGGAAGATTATTCACTTTGCAGAACCATAAAATCCCACAGCTAGAAGGGTCCTTACGTGTCATCTAGCAAAGCTTTTTTTCGGCCTTCTTCCTACTAGAGATCCTTGTCTGACTTCCCTGATGGGGCCAGCGGAGGCCTGAATAAGTCATGTCCGGCTTCTTTCCTCACCCCTCTACTGCAGCTCCTCTCATCAAGGTCACTAATGACTTCTTAATGGCTCAACCCAATGGCTTGATCCTCCTTGAACTGATCTGTATTTGACACTTGACACCTTCTTCCCCCTTCTCCCCCCACACCCGCCCCAAATGATCACGGAACTAGAGCTGGAAGTGATCAGCTCGTCAGAAGCACTTATTTTACAGATGAGGAAACTGAGGCCCAGAAAGGTTGTGACTTGCTCAAGGTCTCACAGGTGACACTGGATGTAAACTCCCTGTTTTCTTCCTAGTTCGTTCTCTATACCCGTCACCAGCTTTCCTTCCTTCTGTTAATAATAATAACAAAACAATTGACATCGATCTTTCAAGGTGGCAAAGCCCTTTACATGCAGCCCTTTACAATATACATTATAAATGTATAATATATATGATATATGAATTATTTAAATTATGTACATGCAGTACCTTATTGGAGCTTCACAACAACCCTGTCAGATGGTTACTCTAGAGGTATTGTCCCCATTTTACAGATGAGTAAACTGAGGCTCATGATGAGACATGAAATGACTTTTCATCCACGGTCACACAACTAGTATGGGGGAGGAAGATAAGAACTACAGAGGTCTTGCTGCCTCCAAGTTCAATCTTCTATCCCCATCCTACCTATATCTGCTGCACCCAGAACATGGTTATCCCCCAACCCAAAGTTCTGACTTGATTCCTTGTTTCCTTTTCTAAGATTCTGTTCCTCTCCTTGACTCCTTTCTTATTTATTTTACGGTTAGATTTATTTAGTTCTCAGAGGGGGAGGTTGAGGTTCCCCACTAGTATAGTTTTATAGGCTATTTCCTCCTGTAACTCATTTAACTTTTCCTTTAAGAATTCAGACGTGGTTCTCTAATTCAAGGCTAAGTTTATGTTAAGCCACTTTATTTTGTACTCAAGCTTTCCTCCTCCAATGACTAGAATAGACAGGTGAGGAAATAATTTTGTTTTTTTTTAATCAATCCACAACCATTTATTAAGCTAGGTGCTAGGTGTGTGTTTGGGCAGTGATGGGAGAGGGAAATGGAAAGACAAAAAAAAATTCTAACAGTCCTTGCCCTCAAGAAGCTTCTGTTGTCACAGGGGAGATCACATATAGACAACTATGAACATACAAGATAAAGACAGAAGAAGTGGACGGTGATCAGAAAAGGGGGCAATAGAGAGGTCATGAGCAGTTGGGAGGGTCAGGAACTCAATTCCCCAAAGGGACACCCTCCCCTGGACCCCCCACTCCCACCCCATCAGAAAACCCAGGGCAAGCAAAGGAGGCAGGCTTCCTGGGGACTTTAATCCAAGATTCAACCTCACCAAACAAGCATTTGGGGGCCTCTAATTACTCCCTCTCTTTCTGCGTCACTCTTTGAGCAAGAAAAAGTGGGGGGGAGTATTTGAGAGAGAAAAAAAACGACAATAAAACAAACCAGCTGGAGGTTGAGCTTACAGTTAAAAAACAGCCCACCCCTCCCTCAAAAGCAAAGACATTCCTTCTGGAGCGGCTGAGTGAAGTCGTTAGCAGCAGCAGCAGCAGCAGCGGCAGGAACTCACAAAGATGCATCAGCCACTGGGCAGCTGGAAGCTCCCAGGGTCTCTTTGCTTTCTACTTCTGGTCTCCTGGGCTATGGCCACGGCAGCCCTTCCCCTGGAAGATGGCCTCGCCATGAAAGGCAGTAAGGTAAGTAAAGGCAAACAGGAAGCTGCTCCTCCCTGTGGCTTTGAGAACTTTGTAAAGCCCCCCCTCCCTTTCTTTTTTCTTTTAATTCCCTTGGATTGATTTGACCACCACTCTGGTTTCACCAGCATCCCCATCCCTGACTTTCCTACTTTCACCTTGTGTAACTCCCCACATGTCTCTGGGCCTGTTTCCTCATCAGTACAGTGAGGGGGGGTGGTCCCGAACGAATCTAGATTCTAAATGACTTCTGAGGTCCTGTCCAGATAGCTAGGATCCTCTACAATTCCCCATCCAGATGGCCGATTCTGTGGTTTTTTTTTGTTTGTTTTGTTTTGTTTGTTTTTTTTACTATGAGAATCCTGTTCTTTCCTTGGAGGGTTGAAGAAGCTGGTCATTTCTCCACTTCCCCTCCTGCCAAGGGGACTCCAGTGTCCAGCCTTCCTAGTGCTCAACACCCAGAGGGGGCAGTGTCCTGGAATACCCTATGTGACTTCTGTGACAGACGCCTAGGCAAAGACCTCTGCTTGAGTTACACATCAAAGTTGGGTGGGGGGGGGGGGGTCTGCAGAAGATCCTGAGGGCAGCTTCTTCCTCTGAACAATTCTGACAACTCCTTGTTACAGAGGAAAAACTTCCTGATGAGAGCTAGCCGAAAGAGAAATGGGCTGCCTTGAGCGTAATGAGCTCCCTGTCCAGTGGAGGTCTTCAAGCAAAAGGTGAATGATCACTTGTTGGGGATGTTGTAGATGTGATTGGTCAGATATAGGCTGAAGTAGATGGTAGCTGAGGGATCTTACAGTTCTGGGCTCCTGGGATTCATTAATCATGTGAGCCACCCCCCCTCCCTTCCCTAGCTTACCAACCTTAAACAGGACAAGTCTTTAAGTTTAATCTCCCTGTTGAAAAACTCAAGAGCAGCCACCTGCTGAAACCTCTCTGTGGGGCTCCAAAATGTTCAGTGAGAGTAGCCCAGTCTATTCTCAGCTGCTGCTGTGTGGATGAATCACACACATGCTTTGGAAATGTTAATTTATAGAGTAAATGTTCTCTCTGGTGGAAATTGACATCATTAAATTCCCCATTGAGAATCTTAAAATTTACAAGGTGATTTATTTTTCATTTTTCCCCCTATTTTTCCTTTTTGAAAAACTTCCAAGAGAGAGTACATAAACTTGGCCATTAAAAATGGATTTTTCTCTAAAATCACAGACAGTGTTCAGGCTGCCCATTTATCATTCCAGCGTCCTTTGCTGCCTGGCAGCGAATAGACTTTCGCAGGGAATCTGGAAAAAAGCTAGAATAGAATGTTGGGAACTGAAACCATCATAATCAGTAAGGACCATAGAAGGTTAATTTTTTTAAAAAATCAGAATCTCTGAATAGGAAGGGTCCTCAGAGAACATATAATTCAGCCCAGATCTGACCAAGAATTCCAACGGCAATATCCCTATAAGGGGTCATGCAGCCTCTAATTGCAGATTTCCAGGATACCTTCCTAGCCGGCTCATCCCACTTTGGATATTTCTAATTTTTAGGAAGCTTTTCCTTACATTGTATTCAGTAATTCATCTTCTCCAGCTGAAGATTCTCCCACATTCATTCCTTAAAAGTGTTTTTCTCTTGTATTCTCTTGTATTCTCATGTCTGTTAAGGTCCCCACCATTCATGATATGCACAGGACATAGTATTTATTGCAATGTGTTTATTAAAGCTTCCATTCAGAGCAAGTTTTCATGTTCACTGAATCAGAGAACAATTGTGAGTGTCACTTAAGTATTCAATTTTCCCTCCTTTTTCCTTACCCCCAATATGTATTCTGATTAGGGACTTCAAAAAGTAAGGGGGCAGAGGAAATTCCTGCTGTGTTGTGAGAATTATAATTTTTTTCCTTCCCTCTAGAACTTCCCAGATGTTCTTAACCTTTTTGTGTGTGTGTCCTGGATCCCTTTGGCTAGTCCAGTGAAACATATGGACCCCTCCTCAGAATAATGCTTAATGCCTAAAATAAAATACAAAGGATTACCAGGGAAATGAATTCTATTGAACTACAGTTATCAAAATCTTTTAAAAACAAGTTCAGATTAAGAATCCCTGCAGGTTTAAACAGAGCAGTTTCTTTTCTTGATTTCATCATCAAAGGAGCAATTTAAAACGGTAACCATTTTCAGTGTCTGATAAACTAAGCCTTTCTGTTCCACAGCATCTTTCCCTAAGTGGGGAGTTGTGGTTTTCTCAGGCTGAGTTAGGGTTCTTTTATTTTAGACTAGAACTGAGATAGCCACAGGGTCGGGACCTTCCAGTTTGGAAACTCCCTCCACCTATGGAGACCAGCAGCTAGCAATTCAGAGCCTCAGGGAGTTTCTTGGGGGCAGTGACAGGTCACACAGCCAATATTTGTCGGAGGCAGGACTGGACTCCAGTCCCGACTTCACGGCTGGCTTCCTTCCCATGCACTACTGAGGGTTATCCCTCAATGAGTTAGATGACTGACTTTCTTTCTTCTGCCACCCCGTAATCGCCGCTTGCTTCTTTTCAAAAAGCCCCTGCAGGAAGTGGCCGAAGGAAAGACGAGCGACCTCCTGACTTTCCTTTTCTCCTTATACGACTGGACCTCCCGCGGCGGGGAGATGCCTCTGGCCGGGGGCGAGGAGACGGAGTTCTCCAAGCGAGACGGGAGGGCTCTTTCCAACCAAGCCCCGCCTCGGGATAAAACCCCCTGCAAGAATTTCTTCTGGAAGACTTTCTCCTCCTGCTGAGAGAATCCCGCCCGCTCCTGTCGTGTGCAGCTGCTGGAATAAAGTTGCAATTCATATGGGGCAGTGATTTCCCTGATTTGTGAATGTTGTTGTCCTGTATGATGTAAGCGTTTGTGTGTCTCCCTTCCAATAAAGCATACGGACAGAACCTTCTGATGGTGCTGTGTTTCATTTCAAGGCCACATGGCACGTTGAAAAGGCCGTTCGCTCTCTAGCCGTATTGATAGACTATTAAATGCAGCCTCCTCGTTTTCGTTCAGTCCGTGTCACCGGCTTGTAGGAGAGTGGTCTGATAACGGGGACCATTTTTGGTGACGTAGTGGGAAGAGCCCTAGACAGGGAGGCAGCAAGCAAATGAGTTCAGATCCTGGTCTTGATACCTTTACTAGCAGTGAGACTTTACCTTGAACAGCCTCAGTTTCCCGATCTGTAAATCGGGAATAATAATACTCACCATGCCTACCTTACGGAGAACTGACCTCAAGTGATAGACCTGGGTTCAGGTCCCACCTGTGCCACTTACTGACCATGTGACCCTGGGCACTAAAACCATAAAGTTACAATTCAGGCAGAGATCTGCACTGGTGAAGGGAGTAGCTTTCCTGGGCATTCTCTGTATCAGTGAAATCACATATTCAACTACAAGCAGTCTCCCTATCTCACAGAAAACATTTTAGAAACATTGAATAGACATATATTTATATCATATGTATATTAACATATGATAGTAATACATAACTACATAATATATACCTATATACATATAGTATATAAAACATACCTAAATGCATATAGGTACATAAAATACATACCCATTTGCATGTATACATATATGTATATACATACACACACATGCATATATACACATAGGTACATATCTTATTCTGTTTTTCTTTATTTATTGTTCATCCAGCACAATGTACCTGATAACTAGGTGCTGGAAGTTGTGGTTTATTGCTTAAATTATGATCCTCCTTTGTTTTAGAGTAGCAAAAGTATACTTATTCAAGATAACAAAATAAAGCCTCATTTACAAATAATTGGAATTGATTTACGTTCTAGAATATTACTTTTAACGGGTCACCAGTACTCTAGGTCTACTTGTTTCATGCATGTGGTACCTGAAGGCATTCCCCAACAATTTGCTGGCAAGTCCCCCAGGGAATTGTTACTGCAGGTTCAGGGTACTCTGTGGGTCCGTGTCTTCCAAAACCATAGCTCACAAGCCCCCACCAATATTGTTTACCTTTAACAGTCAGCCAGAGGGAACAATTCATTCTAAGCAAAAGCATTTTATGAAGTGGTACAGTAAGAAGTTAAGAAAAGTAGCCACAAAACATTTCCCCCCATAAACCTGGGGTCCGGTCTCCCACAAATACACACATTGTTGGGAAGGATGGACATAGGAGGAAAACACATGAAGGGCACACGTATAGAGAACATGTGTAGCCAGGATACACATGACGAAGGGTACAGGCAGAGGGGAAACAGGGCTAATGTGCACATTTGGGTGCTTCAAGGAGCACACTTGGAAAGGCAACTCTTGCCTTTACTCTCTCTCTGCTCCCCGCTGATCTTAGAGTCTCTGAGTCCCTGCTGGACACTGCTTAGCCAGATGTGCTGCTCCTCGGACACTCCCTTGCCAGCTTCTGGCTCAGTTGAAATCCTTGGCAGTCTCTCATCAGTGGGAGAGCAGGTGCTATGATGTTCTTTCAGTATAAACCTCATAGGCTTTTCTCAGCTCTTTTAGGGAAAAAAAAAAAAGCACAGACCCTCCCCAGAGACTAGCAAAATGACACCCTCCGTTCAGAAACATCTGGCATCCCTAGAGGGTGACCTTAGCTCTTTGAAACAAATAAGCAAGGTCCTTCCAACTAACTAATGCCCTCTATGTTCTTTGGACTTTTCTTCCTAGTCTTCCTGACCTTGGGCCCTCTGTCCCAGTCTTTAGTCTTTGCCCTCAAGGAGCTTATATTCGAGACAATCTGTAAATAAGTACATACATACAATATACATACAGAGAAGGTAGAAGGTAATCTGATAAGGGGAGGGGCAGGGAGAAACAAGGGAATCTCTCCTGTAGAAGGTGAGATTTGACCTGAGTCTTGAAGGAAGCTGGGGAAACCTGGAGTATGTGGAGGGGAGAAAAGTATAACAATAACAATAAGAATAACTAGCATTTATATATAGTTTCAAGGTTTGAAAATGCTTTACAAATATCTCATTTGATCCTCACACCAACCCTGGGAGGTAGGTGCTATTATTATCCCCATTTACAGATGAGGAAACTGAGGCAAACAGGTTAAGTGACTTGCCCAGGGTCACACAGTTAGGAAGTGTCTGAGAAAGGATTTGAACTTGGGTTTTTCTGACTCCAACACTTTATCCACTGGGGCACCTAGAAAGACAGGAAGGAGTCAAGCTATGAAGAACTTAAAGGAAATACCTAAAGGACATTGACATGTCTATAAGATACCTTCCCTCATTTCCCGTGATGCTAATGCTTTCCCTCTCTTGATTTCCAATTTATCCTGTACACAGTGGATTTGTTCATATTTGTTTGCTCATTGTCTCCTCCATTAGACTGTAAACTCATGGAGGGCAAGGACCATCTTTTGCTTTGTATCCTCAATGTTTAGCATAATGGCTGGCACATAGTAGGTGTTTGATAAATGTTTATTGACTGAAAGGTTGACTTACTAGGGGTGGATATATAGATCTGGGAATCATCTGAATACACATGATCATTGAACCCATAGTAGCTCCTGAGATCACCAAGCAAGATAGTATTTAGTACTGAGCAAAAAGGGATAGGGCCCAGGACTGAAGGTCTGGAAGATACCCAAGGTTAGTGAGTGTGATATGGATGAAGAATCAGGAGAATGGAGTATCCAGAAAACCTAGAGAGGAGAGAACAACCAGGAAGAGAAGATGTTTAACTGTTTCTCAGGCTGCCGAAGAGGTCAAGAATGAGGCCTGAGAAAAAGCTTTGGATTTGATGATTAAGAGATCTTTGTTACTTTCCATCTCCCCAGAAAAGTGGAAAGTGAAAAAGTTAGAGTACAAAGCCATGGCCAGATGGCAAGGTCATGGTCTTTTTCTTGGCCTCTGCCCCATTTGTAACCCTTTTGTGTGAATATACAGATAATTTTTGGGAAGGAAGAGAAGAAGAAAAGGAAGTAAGGGAGAGAGGAAGGAAGGACAGGAGGAATGAAAAAGGAAAGAAAGGAAGGACAGGAGGGAGGAAGGGAGGAAGGAAGAAGAAAAGGAAGGAAGGAAGGGAGGAGGGAGGAAGGACAGGAGGAATAAAGAAGGAAAGGAAGGAAGGAAAGCAGGAAGGAAGAAGGAAAGAAGGAAGAAAAGGAAGGATGAAGACAAGGGAAAATATCAAAATTATTATTACCTCTAGTTTCTACTTGCATGAGTTCAACTAGTTTTATACTGTACTGATTGTATAATTGAGTCAGCTTTTCCTCTGAGTTAGTTTAAAGTTACAGGTCAATTTGTTATCATCTTCAAAAAAGTATATTGTCCACCCTTACCTGTCCTTATACAATTAAGGAGGGTCTTAGCTCCCTAATAAACCCTTCTAGGCATCAGGGAGTCTGCTAACTCAAGTCTATTAACAATGTCTGTAAGATGCTGATGGGTCCCACAAAACAATTAACATTCCTTAATTGTCAGAGAGGCATGGTCACTAGCTCCACATGGGTGTGCTAGCCTGATTTCTTTAAAATAGCCAATCATGTTGTCCCCACTCCCACTTCAATCAATTCTGATGTCTTCTCCACCTACCCAACTCTGTACTCCCCAAAACTATTTGAAGGCTGGTGGGCCCTACGTCGGTCTTTGGTCATTGGGAGAGGCCATTGACCAAATTTATTGGTTACTGCTAGCCTAATTTGATCATGTTCAGGCCATTATCTCTCAGTTTAATTTTCAAACATAACAGAAAGAAGAAAGAAGCAAAGGAAAGACAGAAGAAAGGAAGGAGAGAATGAGGGAGGGGAGGAAGGAAAGAAAGAAAAAGAAGAGGAGGAGGAAAGGAAAGAAGAAAGGTTTTTTAAGTACCTGTCATGTGCTGGGTGCTTTACAAATATCTCATTTGACTGTTATGACAACCCTGGAAGGAAGATGTTATTATCTTCATTTTACAGGAAGGGAAACTGAGGCTGAGAAAAATGAATTGATTTCCAAACTAATTAATTGATTAGATTCTGCTCACTAGGCTTGAATCTTTTGAACTAAATGGAATTTTCAGTACCAAAGGTTTGAGCTGACAAATTTGAGCAATGAGTGACTTCATAATCTAGAATTATAGCACTTTGCTGAAGGTAAAGTTGAATCTTGGGAAAAGTGGCAAAGGCCAAGGGAGGGGGCAGTGCCATTTTCTCTACTTTGCCGGATACCAAGGGAGCAGACTCACTGAACTGGGCTCTGCTGACCATTCCATTCTATTGGTTTCAGCAGAGCTGAACTTGTACTCTTCTTAATTACTTACCAAGCTGAATTAAGTCGTAATATGTCTGAAGAGCATTATCAACGCCCACATTTCCATACCCAGCAAGTTTAGCAGAATAGTAATTGGGTCAGTGCACTGGTGGAAGATGCTTACTTGAAAGGACAGCTAACCTTCAGAATTTCCTCATCTGAAGATTTTGCTGCGCTGACAGCCATTATGATGGCTGTTGGATGTCAATGGACCATGTGGTCATTAATAGCCCTGTAAGGTCATGGACTTTATAATAATAGCAGGAAAGCAGCAGGGTTGACACTGCAGCTCCTGGAATCCTCCTTGCAATCCTAGGCCTGTTTGGCACGTGGGATGAGAGCCCAGGAATAAGGAGGTGATAATCCTTCTTTCCTCAGTGGATAGAGGACTGGCCTGGAGTCAGGACAGACTGATAGTTCAAATTCTGTCTCAGACACTGCCTAGATGTGTGACCCTGGGCAGAGCACTTCTGCCTGCCTCAGTTTCCTCATCTGTAAAATGAGGATGATGACAGTAATAGCATCTACTTCCCAAG